AATTTTGAAAAAAAATTGATAAGGTACAGCAGTTAACTGAACCTGGAGAAAGAAATAGAGTGCTAAAACAAAGACAATGCCGGTGTCTGGCTGACTGGAAGAACAGAGAACTTTCACACCATTCATTCTGCCCTTCTGCTAAAAGTGTCCTGATTTCCTGATTTTCCTTTAGGGTTTTTTTTTTCCTATCCCTATTCCCACCTCCAGTTCAAGGGTGGGTTCTGATTGGTTAAGTTATTTAGTGACCACATAACTTAAATAAATGTAGTGACTACAGTCATTGTTTCAGGCATGGTCATGCGCCCCAATGTCAGGCCAATGAGAGAGAGAATGAACCCTAGAACATGGGCAGGATCTACTGGATAACAGTGGCAGCTGTTTTGCTATATCAATAGGAGAGCCTGGAGCTGATTTGTGGCATCTAAGCATGAAGACAATACCACAGAATGCATAATGTTGAGACTGGGAGAAAGTGAATCTTCAGTTATATTATTTGAGTTTTGGATCAAGCCTCACTTGACTTGGTCACATACATCTCACATTTTCAGTAAAGTCTGGGATTTTAGTGTAACCATCACCTGAATAATGTACATTTTACTTATTAAGTAATTTTTCATCTCTCAACCCCCTGCTACCCTCCCACCCTTCTGATCTCCAATGTCTGTCATTCCATACTCTATGTCCATGTGTACACAATATTCAGCAGCCACTTTAAAAAGTTTTTTTTATTTTAAAATTGTGGGGTACAATTCAGGGTTAGGTATACAAATATTCATTGTGCAGGTACCCTTGTTGATGAGGTGTGTCCCCCTTCTCCAGGCAGTTTCCCACTACTGCCTATTACTCTAACTCCCTCTGGCCTCTTTCTTCCTACACTCTATGATCCAGCCATGATCTACTTCTCCAAAAGAGCAAATTCTTGCTCACCTCTGAGACTTCATGGATGCAGTTCTCTCTACCTAGAAACCTTTTACCTGGTTAATTTCTATATTTTCTTCAATCTTAGTCTAAACATTTCTTCAATTGGGACTTCTGTGACCCATACGTCCTCTTGATATTTGTTCCCCTATACCACCCAAACTCCAACAAACATCACTCTTCTAATTACTTACCCAATACTTGTTTTCTTTTAGAACAAAGCGCAGAGAGGGCAGGGACTGTGTCTGCCTCATCTGTAGTTGTAACCCCGGTGGCAAGGACAGACATTCACTGAATAAATATAAAACAAATAACTTGCAACATGATATCAGAGTATAACTTTAACATATGTAACTTTTTCTAGAGAGACGTATGGTGTCTTTCATTTGAGTTTAGAACATCCTGTTTATACCACGAGGCAATAACTCTATTTACTCCAGTTGAGAACACTGTCATTCTTAATTTTATTCATTAATTCAGTAATAATTTATATGCTTAAAACAATCATACTACAGTGACGCTGAACTCTAAATTGCCTAAATTAGCCCGGTGCCACACTGACCTCTGTGTGTGGCCCTCATGCTAATATTTCTCTAGAGTGTGTTTCTTCTTCTATATCTGTGTCATACTGAAATGACATGGGAGCCTGACAACCTGAGACTATATAATGCAATTGTGAGGAAGTGCAGCACCTTAAAGTCATTGAATATTTGCCCTGACATCTGAGAATCAAATTTGTTTAGCACCAGCTCCATCCTTGTTGGTTTTTAGATGTTTCAGATTTGTTGTTGTTGTTGTTGCTGTTGTTGCTGTTGTTGTTGAGTTGGAGTCACACTCTGTCACCCAGACTGGAGTGCAGTGGCCACGCCCGGCCACTGCAGCCTCGACCTGCTGGGCTCCGGCGATCCTTCCGCCTCAGCCTTCCAAGAAGCTGGAACTACAGGCGCGCGCTACCACACCCAGCTAATTTTTTTGATTTATTGTAGAGATGAGGTCTCGCCAAGTTGCCCAGGCGGGTCTCGAACGCGCGGGCTCAGGCAATCCACTCACCTCAGCCTCCCAAAGTGCAGGATTACAGGCTGAGCCACCGAGCCCGGCGATGTTTCAGGTTTTAAAAAAAAATCTATCAGTTATACACTAGAAGCATGTCTACATTATGAGGAACAAATAGAACTATTTCAATAGTAGTTTTCCTAGTATTCAAAACACTGCTAACTGGCTGCCAAAGCCCATTTTCCACCTACTTCTCCCTTGTCTACCTCCCAAGAGTTGGACTTGTGCCGCCAGCTTCCCTTGTAGGTGAAGGTTGCCCTGTGACTCTATCTGGCCAAGATGGGGAAAGGATCTTTTCTTTCCCTAATAAGAGATGCGAGAGGGAGCAAAAAGGCCTGGCCTGTCCTCACTACCCTCTTGTTTCCTGCCTTTGATATTTGAAACTGCGGCAGCCATATTCTAATGATGAGGTGACAAGCCTGAGCAAGAGATGCCAGCAATGTTAAGGATGGCAGAGTAGAAAGAATTGAGGTCGTTGATGACACAGTTGAGCAGCTGATGCAATATTAGTAACTACTCATCTCTGGACTCCTTGCTACAAGAGAATGAGCCCCCTCATTTGTTTAACCCACTGTTAGTTGCATATTCAGTTACTAGCATCTGAATACAATCTAACTGATGCCCTTACTTTTACATTTTCTTTGTGGAAACTAAAACAACAAAATTATTGTTTATACTTATGCTTATTTGTTGGAAGAGCATTGGATTTTTGGAACACACCCAGAAAAACACGAACTTCACTTCAAAGGTTTAGTTATTTTAGTCCCAGAAGCAGAGAGGACCTACATCAAGCCATTATACTTGATACAAATTCTGAGGGATGTCTGTATGACTAAATACCACACTGGGAGCTGGGAGACCTGAATTCAGATAAGGAGGGGAAGTTCTGAGCTTTGTGTTGATTGGAAGACCCTGAGTCATTTAAGGACTGTGACCAGTGAATGCCTAAAGCTGATTAAGTTAGGCCAATCACTGTGGCAAGGGGGCTGCATTTATTAGTTTAATGAATCGGGGCCTACCTCTCTAGCTGAGGTGGCTATAATCTCACCTCAAGCCAGGAGCTGCTGGGAATGGCTGTTGGGAGAGCAACCACCACATCCTCCACATCTGATCTAAACCAGCTGTGATTCCATGAGCAGAACCTATCTTTGCAGTTGTCTTTTTTTTCACCACCACTTTCTTTTCTGTTTTATTTCATAATTGTCCTTTTCTACCTCTGAGCATAGGTCCCTGTGGAAGACAACAAACTCCAAAATGAAGTAGACAAGGCTTGGCATAGCTCAGACTTGGGCTGGTAAAAAGAAGTGAGGCTGACAAGGTGACTTGTGAAGGTCCCTGTGCACTTCAGGGCAGAATGGAGTGACACCTTATTCATTAGGTGCGAGCTGGACATGCCAACTTGAGGTAACTCTTGAAACCTTAAAGGAGGCAATGTTTCTCAAACTCTGAAGCCTCCATTCTAAAGAATGCACAAGCTTTTTAGGGAAAGGAAGAAAATTCTCTTGTGCAATTACATTTTTCCTTCGATCTGCATTTTTTGAAAACTGGTTTAGTACTCAAATCCTTAACAGGCAAATCTCTCAGCCTTTTGAGAGAGCGGTGAAGGGTTTGCACAAAACATTTTTGAAGAATGACTCTGAGTGTCCAAATCGTCCCTTCCACTTTGGTAAATACTATTCTTTTAAACTATTGCACTGAGAATATTACCAGATGATTTCTGGAAGCTGACTTATGAACTAATTGGGCACTTATGTTGTGCGGAGGAACAAAGACTTTATTGGTCTTCAACTGAGGCATATACCTGTCTGACGGCGTTGGCTCATTCTGCACATGCTCAGTTGAACAGAAATTTTCATATTGAATGCAACCTAGTACAGCGGCAACACCCAGAACCTCACTCCCTGGCTGACCCGATGTATCCACTCCCTCTAGTTGCATTTTTATCCCGACAAGTCTAACATTTACCGGGAGTATAGAGAGCAGAGTAGATGCTGGAGGTTTGGTTGCAATATACAAAGGGACCAAAGTCTCAGTGTGTCCCTGCTTCCCTGACCTCTCTCTAGGTTGTCTCTAGTGAAGGGAGGCGCTGGATAGATATTTGAGTTTGGGGCAGAACGTGGAAGAAGCTGTCTCTACAGATTGCCGTTTGTTGTTGCACACCTTTCTAGATAGTTTTTGTTTAGTTCTTTTCTTGGACGACCGCCCACCCCCCCCCCCCCCGGCCTCATCTTCATTAAGGAATGACAGGGTGGCTCTAAAAGCATCCGCTGCCAAACACGGTCTTGAGTGACAACCTCTCCACCGCTCTTTTAGCTTTCCCATTCATTAGCACCCTTTCCCTGCCTCTTTTCCCAGCAAAAACTGGGAAAGGCTTCTTGCGACTACAAAAGAAGTGGGGGGGGGCAGGAGTTCGGAGCTTTTCCCCGAACAACGAGGGTGCGGTCGCAGACCTTTTGTCCCCAGCTCCTTTCGCGGCTTGGTCGCGGCTGGGCGCGGAGGTGACGACCCCAACCAGCCCCGCCTCGGCAGCTGCAGCCTGCGCGCCCCGCTTGCCAACCCCGGCGCCCTCTAGATGCCCGGCG